TTGGAGAACAGAGGCAAAACATTTATATCAAGGAGTAAAAGTGTTGTGCTTAAAACACAATCCCTGAGGGACACCTTCATTTGGGGACGAAGTCCGGGGAAAGAACATTATTGACTTGAACACGAAATGTCTGTCAGTTAGAAGTTTTTAAAGGGAAGGATGGTAGATTGCCTCGGAGGCCTAAGGCATGGGCCAAAATATTATACCTCCAAGTTGTGCCCAATATGCCTTCTCAAGGTCAAAAATATGGCAATAACCGAGTGATTATTCGCAAAGGCATTACGAACATACGTACAAAGCGTAAAAGGGGGTCTATGGTAGAACGACCCTTACGAAAGCCAATTTGCTAGCGAGAGACTGTTGCGAGTCTCTAAATACCACATTAAACAAATTTTTACGAGGCGTTCCATCACTTTCCCAAACTGCACTAGTAAGAGCGATGGGGCGATAGTGGGAGGTATCATGTCCTCTAGTCCCCCCGGTTTGGGGAAAAGGGAGAACAATGCAGATTTCCACACTGGGGAAGAACTCCTTGTGCCCAAATAAGATTGAAGAGGTGTAAGAGGACTACAAGGGCTGACCGATGTAAATGTTGTAACATACAAATATGAATGTCAGGCCCAGCTGCCGATGATCGGCAAGCTGAGAGCGTTGCCTCCAGTTCTTGAAGTGTAAAAGGCACATTATACTGTTCTTCTCTGAGAGAAGAAAAGTCCAAGGGTACTAACTCTCTGGCAGACTTTGAGGAAAGAAACGAGGGGCAAAGATGGACCCCTCGGGAAAAAACGGACCAGATGTGTGCCAAGTTCAATGGCAACGTCGAGAGGGTTTGCTACATCAACACCAGGGGACCCGTAGAACAGGAGCCGGGGTCAGGAGAGTATTTACCACTCAATTTCCTCATTTTTTTTCCAGACTGCACTCATAGAAGAAGCAGAGGTGATGGTGGAAACAGTCTCGCCAACAAGTGCGTTTAGCTTCACGGATGACAAGGCGAGAGATCGCACGCTTCTGCTTAAAATCAACAAGTCTCTCAGCGGTTCTATTGTACCGTACCTGCCCCATGAAACACGTTTCAAACGTACTGCACGAGCACAACAGGAAAACCACCAAGGCACGCACTTCTGAGAATCCTCCTGAGGTTTGGGTATAGAATGAGAAGCTGCGGTATAAACTGATGTCGAGAAGATGTGTGGGAGCTCATCAAGGGAGGATGAAGAAGGAACCTCGCTAAAAGCAGTGAGGTTTGAGTAAAGATCCCAATTTGCCCGATCAAATTGCCAGCGAGGGCTACGGAAAGGTGGTGAATAGGAAGGGGAAGTAAGAATGATCGGAAAATGATTGCTGTCATGTAAGTCTGGTAGAAAAGACCAGGTGAAGTCTAGTGCAGTGGAGAAGAGCAGACTGATAGTTCGATGCAAGAGAGAGTATGAGTATGAGGGTCAAAATGGGTGGGGGTACCCGTATTTTAAAACATGGAGGGGGTGAGAGGCGAGAAAAGCCTTTCCCAAATGAATGCCACGTGAGTCACAATGAGACCCCCCCAGAGGAAATGGTGGGCATTAAAATCACCAAGTAACAGAAATGGTGGTGGTAAGGATGAAACAAGAAAGGCAAAGTCTGGGATAGAAAATGCTCGAGAAGGAGAGAGATATAAAGAACATATGTAAACCACTTATTCAAGTGGATACGGCTGCAGTGTAATGCAGCGAGGTATGGACAAATAGTTGACAGTACGGAATACATTGCGTAGAAGAAGGGCACTTTCATTAAAGGTCCCATCTGAGAAAGGATCCGAAGAAAACAATAAATTATAGCCTGAGATAGGTTGGAAAACAGCCGAGTTTTAATTTGTTCTTGTAAGCAAACACCAACAGGGGAAAACCTGGAAAGCAACATCTGAAGCTCACCCCAATTACCCCTGAGGCCGCGGGAAATTTCCCCTGTAAATAGGCCATGATTGGCGATGAAGAAAATATCAGGAATCTGTAGGTAAAGGCACCTACGGACTAGAGGGTTAGAAAAGTCAACGTGTGGTGGCATTGGAAGATGTTCAGTAGCGAAAGGAACGGAGCGTTGCGAAGAATGGGTTGTGAAGATGGAGGGAGAACAGGAAGTGAATCAGTGTCCCTTGAAGGTTTAGTCTCTGCAATATATTCTGAAATGGCTTCAAGTGTTTCTGGGAATTCAAAGATGTATGGAGACCATATTGGAGATAGGAGGGGGAGGGTGAGTAAAGATTGGGACAGTAATGGACTGTACCAAAGTAGAGGGGGAGGGAAAAGTGTAAGGGACTGGAGATGAATGTGGGGGGGGGGGGGGACAGAAGAGGCAAGAACCTGGAGGTGGCAGAAGAGGAGAAACTTGGGAGGGAACGGGGGTGGAAGGCATAGTACGAGGAGGAGGGTGAATCTCCAACTTGCAATAGAGCCAGAGAGGGGGAAGAACTAGGTACAGAGACTGGAAAGGTAAAGTGTGGAGGTGGAAGAAAGGGAAGGAAGGGGCAAAGAAGATTCGAGCAATGTGATTTTTTGGACTTCTGAGTAGAGGGGCGATTGGTAAATTTGGTCATAAAGAGGTCTTGTCGATACGGGGGTTGTGAGGAAGGACGCGAAAATGTGAGAACAGACCGAGTTGTAGTCAGGACGTCAGAGCCAAGGACAGCAAAAGGATTAGATGCCGTAGTGGCTATGGGAGGGGGAACAACAGAGGGGGCTGCAGAAGATGGGACCCCAGAAGTGGGGGGGCGTTTGGAAACACGAGAATAAGAAAACAGGGTAGTCTCCCTTGGAGGCGGGGACGAGTAACTGCCATAGCATAAGGGAGACCTTCTGCCTTTTTTTGAGGCAACGGATTTCACGTTCATTTAAGTAGACCTGGCAACGGCGGGAGTACGAAGGGCGAGCTTCATTACAACTAAGGCAAGATGGAGGTTGACTGCAAGATGTATTAGAAAAGGTCTCGGCACCACAGACTGGGCATTTTGGCCCTAGATCTGCAATATTTCGCTGGGTGACCAAAACCCAGCAATTTTTTACATTGTTGCGGGGTAGGTATCACCTTTCGAACTTGTAACCTATGTCCCGCGACATATACAGAGGACGGGAGTTCTCGGCTGTCAAAAGTTAAACGAGCCACATTGCAAGGGTAACTTCTCCGCCCCCGGGCAGGAAGGACATAAGTGTCTACTTTGAGGATTGGGAGATCCTGGAGTTCCAGCTGTTCAAAAATGTCATTGCCACATGACTGGAAATTCTGTTGGACTATGGTATGGGGCAGAATGACAGTACCACTACAAGAATTGAGAGTTGTTTTTCAATAGTGATAGTAGTAGTATCGATATTCGAAAGGTGAGAAAGATCATGAGCTTGGGTAGCATTCTGGACAGTGACGATGTGCGTACGCTCTTGAGAGCGTGAAAAAGAAATATCTCGCCAACATGACGCAGGAGCGCTTTGCCAATACTATGGTCAGAAAGGTAGGCCCGAAGAAGAAGTTGTCTTAAAGTAAAGAATTTTTGTCCATTGTGTGGTCCGAAACCGAGCGTGGAGAGGGAGTGCTTGACGTGTCAGTCTTTTCCGAGTAGAATGGGAAGGTAACGAAGGAGCATCATCAGGAGATTGATGTTGGCGTTTAGGAGGACCGGAGTTGGTCCGGCATGAAATGGGCGGGCGATTTGAAAATTTCCGTACCGTAGAGGAAGAAGCCGGAAGCATAGTCAAAGGAGAGCGAGTTCAGACAAATCGAAGGAGTCAGTTGAAGCCCCGGTAACCTGAAGCGGGTGAGGAAACAGCACCAGCAAGAGGTTTCAGGGGCATCAGGAGTGTCCGAAGAGTGGTCTAAACACAAAGCAGGTCAGAATGGGGTGGGTATCAAGAAGGGGCCCGGGGGTAGTGGTTTCATGGACTAGGGCTGCCATGGTTTGGTTACTCCTTTGCTTTTTGTTTTTAAGAAAAAAAAAAAAAGAAGAAAAGAAAATAAAAATAAAAAAAAGAATTAAAAAAAAAAGGGGGGGGCGGGGAGGAATAGTTCCCAAAGGAGGAATGAAAGGGGCCCGGGAAAACTCCCTCCGCGCCCAAGAGGACCTCAACACCGCTATAGCGCAGATGCAGCATGGAACCCGTGCTATACCCTACCCTTCATGCCAGTAAACCAGCAATCCGGGATACCAACCTCATCTGCCGAGCTACCTCGGTGGACAAAAGAGAGGGCGGCCGGATATCCGCCACAAAGCATACCTCCTTCGGCCACCACCCCCGGAATCCGAAAGGTGGCTTCCAGAGACACACCCGTCGCCCAAAAGACACCCAAAGCTACTCCGGGATACCGGAGAGGGATCGGGACATCCCCAGGCAATCCAGATTCCACGGCAAACTACGCCACCGCTAAGAACCTCAACGGAATGGGATGGACCCCTAGCGCGCCTGTGGGAGAAATCCCGAAGGCCAAAAAGAGGAAGGGCAAAAGGGAAGGGTGAGGAGGAGGAATGGAAAAAGGGGAGGATGGGATAGGGGAGGGGAGAATGGGGGGTAATTAGGTTCGGTCTGAGGAAGAAGACCGACAGGGCTAATTCCTCAGACCAAGAGCCTCTTCACCACACCAAGGAGCCCCCCTTGAAGAGGAAGAGGAAGGGTAAAAGGGAGGGGTGAGGAGGAGGAGGAATGGAAAAAGGGGGTGATGGGATAGGGGAGGGGAGAATGGGGGGTAATTAGGTTCGGTCTGAGGAAGAAGACCGACAGGGCTAATTCCTCAGACCAAGAGCCTCTTCACCACGCCAAGGAGCCCACCTTGAAGAGGTACAACTTCATTATTATTTTTTTTTTTGTTTACACCTATCCCTACTTTATACACTATGGACCCACTAGCACAATATGGCTTACCACTCAAATTTTACATCTTAAATGCACCATTGTGTCTGCAGTCTAATTAAAACAGCCATACTGTTACACTTTAATGTGGGGGGGGGGGAAGAGAGAAGGATAATTATAAAGCAGCCAACACATTTTTATGGATTTTATTGGTTTATTGCAAATGCACATGTTTTGTGGCACAATAATTTCCTACAAAATTTATGTAGAAAAAGTGTCAAAATAGGGTCTTTCAAAAATAACTGCCAATGTTTAAATATTCAATGACAATGACAAAACAAGAAAACTAAACTTCCATTCACTATTGCCTGTACCTAGCTATTTGCAGCTGGTAGTCGAAACTTTAAAACCATTTGTTAAAATTCATCTTATGCACCCCTAACGTTGACCTTAGGACACTAACAGTACAGACAAGAATACCTATTCTTCTGGTATGTCTAGACCAATGCCAATGGAAAAAAAAAAAAAAGTGAAACCTGCACAATCCAAAAGTTGCAGCATCCTAGGCTTGTCACAGGGCCTACCAAGGGGGTGAGTTCATGATTAAACATGTGCATGAGGTTTAATTCTTGTGATTTTACACTTTTTTTGGTGGAACCCAACCAGCAACAAACACACCTCAGCACCATGGACATGGAACCAAAAAATATTTCATGAGGAATCAGCTGTCTTAATATTTTTTTTTTTTTACCACCCATTGTAGTCTTACTGGAATTTTATGTTAACTGTACTTCATTCCCCACCCACAGACTAAAATGTGTCTTAGTATTTGTTGCATGGCGTCATCAGTGGTGTTGCGTGACAAAGAAAGGGCCATCATTTCGGTGACTCCAACCCTTGACCGTGGGTTTGTCTGTTCTTTCTACAAAGTGTGACCTCTTCATTACCGGACCCGGAGTGAGGACACGCGAGTATTTCCTTCATTGTGTGGTTAGAGCCGACTTTCTGGTAACCGGGAGCAGCAGCATGTTTGTTATAGCCACTACTCTGCATTACTCTGTCCCTTTCTTCCGTCTCGGTGGTTTGTTTGCCGCTGGGGGTCCCGGGCAGTAGGTAAGGCTCCTGATGGGCAGTTTGGGGCTGGGGCGTGGCTCAACAGCAGCCCTACCTACCCTTACATTTAGACCCATCTCTAAAGTAGCTTTAATCCTACTGCTGAACACGAAGCAAGTGCACAATATGATTATAGCTACTTCTAAAATAGGACTTCTTAGCTTTGGTGGCATGACTTGAGGGAAGGAGAGGGTGTAGATTTACGCAGAACTTTCAGCAGTTGTATTTTCTACTGGCTGCTGAGGTTGGGATGTAGCAGCAGCAGCAGCTTGGTTTTCCTGTCCAGACTGCTGACCTTCTCCCTGAAATTTAAGCTTAAATGTTTCACAACATTATGAATGCATTCTCCAGTAAAATGTTAGTCAAGATAAATCTCATTCCCCTTCTAAAAATAATCAAATGCATTGCTAAAATAATTAACAAGCAATCAGTGCATCATTTTCATTCTAGTAAAAAAAAAAAAAAAAAACCCCCAAGTTAATTTTTTTTCATAAGTAATGTTAATTACAGCTTCTGCAAGCTTTTAACCATTACTTTCCATGATTTAGCAAAATGTCAATACCCATGCCATCATACATATAAGCAGCTGAAATGTCTTAAGACTTGCTTTACAGTTAGAAAAAGCTTGTGTATTAGGACAACCCTTGAACAAGGTGTGAAGCAAGCAGGTGCAGCTTATTCTGCTATTAAGGAGGATCGAGGATTGCTTTGTACAGAAATTCACCCAGATTCTATTTGGCAGCATAATTTTAATAGTATAAATTCAATATTTATAAAATGCTTTTATCAGTATGAGAGGATAAAAACTTGTGGAATGTTCCAGGTCAGAAAGAAAAGTATAATGCTTTGCATGCAAATCGTGGATAGGGCAATACAAAATAAGCTATTAAAAACTGAGGTAACAATCTGCACCATGTGGCAGACAATTCTAATTTAGGATATTCATTAATCACAAAATCGACACTTAAACAGGTTAAGAGTGACATTTTGGTCCAACTTGACCATCGACACATCACACCATGATGTATCAGTGGTACAAGGTAGACACCCTCTCCAAAGTGCAGATTATTTGTTTTGATCCAGCCATGGTAGCGACTATTTCCACTGTACCGTGTGCAGTAATTTGCAATTTCTTAAATAGTCTAGCAATCAAAAGTTTGCTACTGACATTATGCCAGCTATAGGGTACATGCATGTAACAAATGGATGGCAGTAATCAAGTGTTTGGACATCAAGTGACATTTTTGCATTAGCATGACATGCAGTTTTTTGAGCATGTGACAAATTTCATGCCAGGAGCTTAATTTTTCTTTAATTTACTTAATATGTAGATTTTTTTTTTGAGAAGCTTCATTACAAAGATTTATATGGGCAGTACACATTTAAAGGTCACATAACCATAAACACTCAAAAGGGGGTTTAAATGGTAAACCAAGCATTAATGTAAGCCATTTAAATATGATCAATGCTGCTTTTAAAGTAGCAAAAATTCCAATATTAAAAAGGACTTAGGTCATGAAGCTAGGAAGCCTAAGCTTACCACCACTTCAGTTTGAGCCTCATGCTGCTCTCCTTCAGCTTCAGCAATTTCTTTTGGTTCTTCTGCTGACACTTCAGGCTGAAAAGCACATGCAAAAAGCCTTGTTCTATTAAGCATTATTACCACAGAGCATTTCAAACTTTACAAGCACAAAATACTAGACAATGGATAGTCCAAACAGTGTTCCAGCTCTTGATACCTGCATATGCACACTAACATATGCACACATTTTAACTAGTAAAACTATAATGATTGGCAAATGCATTAAAATTATTTTTACAATTAATAAGTATATAAAGCTCCTATTAAGTGGTTACTCATTATGGAAAGTAAGAAAAAATTAGCAACACAGTAAATTGTTAAGTGCAGGCAGTAGTACTGACAAGAAAAAATTCAATGAAGTGCAGCTTATATAAAACACTGAATCAGACTAGTTTAGACTACAAAATATGAACAGTGACAAGGCTTCCCATTACAATGGCTGCAAGCCAGAAAATGTAGATCCTTACTTTCATACTATCAATCAGCTTTACCGTAATCCACATGGTAAAACTTGTTGTATATGATTTTTTTTTACAAGTGGAAATTTTGTTCAGATCAAGTTACATAAAGCATTTCCCACTACAACCATAATAAAATTATTCAGTTAGGCTACATGACATACAAAAATGCAAAATACAAGGCAATTACCAAAAATGTTACACACAAATAATGCACATTTAGTATGCAAGGTATCTGATTTCTAAGACTCCAGACAAGGGGAGGGGAGAGAAAAAAAAATCAGGATAAGCAGTTTCAAAGGTGATAAATTATACTAATAATCTGGAAATCAAGAATTCATTAATAAAAGTTTTCAAAAGCTGGAACACAAAACACATCACACAAATTCCAAGGCACAAAGAGGAACTAAGGATAATTAGGGGCACCATTAACTCTGCACTGGCTAGCCATGCAACATGGCTGCCCAGCTGTAAGGGAAAGGTTGAAGGATAAACTTGCCTTCTGTCCCTCAGCCGCTACCTGTGTCTGCGTTTCCGATGTCTGTAAGGCAAACATGCAGTATGAGGACATGCTTTAGTCTAGGGGATGGACTCCAGATATAACATGCTAGTGTTAATATCTACATAATCTACACAGTGAGTGTGGGAAGTGCAGCTACTTCTGCCCAAAGAAAGGAGAGATCTTCCATCCACATTCTACCTATCCTACATTTCCACTACAAGAAAGGATGTAGTTATTACACAAGTGGAGGAATATTTCTTCTTTCTAGCTTTCACCCCAAATACAGTATTGTAGTGGAAAACAAACATTTAAGACTCACCCTCGTTTCAGGGGTGCCACTGTATCTGCCACCACGTACACGTCCACGACCTCCACGGCGGAATCTGCGACGAGGAACATCATCTGGGGTTGCCATCATTTCTCCATATTGGGGACGGGAGCCACCATAATAGCGCCGGAAGTAGCCACGTGGACCACGACCACCCCTACCCCTTCCACGTCCACGGCCTCTTCCACGTCCCCTAATCTGCATGCCCTCACCTTCAGTTACTTCCCCTCCCTCATAATCATTGTAGCTTTGATAAAAGCCACCACGTCCTGCCCCACGGCCACGTCCACGCCCAAAGAAGCGACCACGGTAGAACCTACGAGGTCCACGGCCACGGAATCCACCTCGGCCACGACCCCTCATCGGTGGTGGAAAATCTCCTCCCTCCTCCTCCATCTCTCCCTCCTCGCCTGGTAGAGCACGGCGGTAGTATCTGCGGCGGTAGCCACGGCGACGATCTGCTGCGTAGGGCGACCCCTGCAGGGGAACATCACGGTCATGAGCAAAAGGCGACCCCTGTGGAAGTACATTATGCTATAACTCTGGGGGAAGTTATGTAATTTAGGATAAGTTTTATTGCAGATTTGGCCAAAAATTATGGAGGATTTTTTTTTTTCTTTTTACAAAGCTTCGACAGAGTGCAAACTCCCTTTTATTTCTCCCAAAGGTTAACTGAACTATTGAATATATTATCAAGCTTACACAAAATACCTGTAGCAGATGTTGGTGCAGCAGATAACCAACTGGGGCATGCATTGAGTAAACAGCCATTACCACCTAAAAAGCTTAATTGTCTAACATGTAAATGTGTGAAAAATCTAAGTACTATACACAACTATTTAGTAAAATGAGTATAGAAAGTATGCAATGAAAAGGGATTGCAGGCAGCTAAAAACCAAGGTGTTGTAAATTCTTAACCTTACCACTGAAAAAAAAAAAGCATCAATAGAAATTGTTTAAATGGTTTAAAAAAGTAACAATTCAAAAATAACATTTGTAGTTTATTAAACAACTCTGCATACACTTTAAACTTTTGTAGACAAGAGGATGATAGTGGCAGAGGAAAACAGACTGGTTAGAGTCTGGTGGAACTTGGCAAAAGAATAGCCAAGCAGAAATGATGAGTACAGATAATTAGTAGCAGGGAAGAGAGGCAATTATAATATGTCGAAGTATTATTAAACCATAAGAACACATCACAACTGTACAAAGCAGATCAAGGAGAACAGTATCATGCTTTCTACTGAAAAGAAAATTCCAACAATTAACACAGCTTAAAATGATAAACTATTAATAATGCTAGAGTATTTGCCAGTGCAATTCTCAGAAACATCAACATGAAAATATTAAAGCAGAGAAAGCTAATACAGCACAAAATTTATATAAATAAAAAGAAAAAAGTTGACTGCCTATAACTTTCCAAGTAAAACTGGTAACTTAGGTACAACTAAAAGTTAAGTAAATCTAATGAATGGCATTTTTTCCATGGCAGCTTAAAGCATAAAAAACATTTAGTACTTAAATTTACTAATAAATTTTAGCTACTGGGAGAGGAGAAAGAAAGGGAGGGGGGTACTACATTACCTCCCAGCAACTGCAGACTACAGGTGTGAAAAGATGCCTATCAAAAGCTTAAGACAATAAAAGAAAGCCATAAAAGTTTGTAAGCATACAAAAGGAAGCAAATCTAACCTTAACTGCCTCTCCACCAGGACCAGTAACATTGGCAGCCTCATTGCCTTTTTCACCAACTACGACGTCAAACTCCACTTCTTCGCCGTCACCTACTGACCGCACATATTTCCTTGGATTATTTTTGATGATTGCTGACTGGTGGACAAATACATCCTCCTTTGTGTCATGCCGGTTGATGAAGCCATAGCCACTCTTAACGTTGAACCATTTAACAGTGCCGGTTACCTTGGTGGCTGCAAATTAAAAATTTTTTTTTTTACTTTTATTTCCTCGAACAGAATTCGTGTTGAATCACATTTAAACCATACTATAGAACGTTAATCAGATTGTCAAACAGTACATATACAAATGCCACCCACACCTCCCCTCAAACTCGAACATTAATTACCGTGCCCGGAGTATATGAATTATTTACTGTATCCAAGTGTGGGTTGGTTTACATCAGAAGTGGGGAATTTTAGTGGTCTGAAGTATCTTGTGCACTTTCCTAAGTCAGTAATCTAAATTTTCCATGTACAGTAAACCCTCGGGTAAAAGGACCTTCAAGTAGTTATCCCTTTCAAAGTCCATGCTGTAGTACTATGTCTCTGCTCAGGGTCAGTGCCATGTAACTGATGAGCTCTGCTCACTTAAAAGCAGCGAGCAGTAAATTTGAGCCTTGATAAGAGTGCACCATAAAAAAAAAAATTCCTGCCTCGTGCAATTCATAATGGGAGGGTAAAACCGGCTTTTTGGTTTAAAATAACTTTGCGGTGTATTTTCAGATGGTTTTTATGGTTGCATTCGCTATCATTTGATAGAATGGAAGGTACAGAAAGAGGTTTCAGGATACAGTTATTTGAAATTTTGGGGCGCGTAGCGCCCCAAACGTTTACATACGTCCACGCGCGTAGCCCCCCAAACGTTTACATACGTCCACGCGCGTAGCCCCCCCCCCCAAACGTTTACATACGTCCCACGCGCGTAGCCCCCCCAAGCGTTTACATACGTCCACGCGCGTAGCCCCCCCCCCAAGCGTTTACATACGTCCACGCGCGTAGCCCCCCCCCCCCCAAGCGTTTACATACGTCCACGCGCGTAGCCCCCCAAGCGTTTACATACGTCCCAGCGCGTAGCCCCCCCCCAAGCGTTTACATACGTTCCACGCGCGTAGCCCCCCCCCCAAGCGTTTACATACGTCCACGCGCGTAGCCCCCCCCCCCAAGCGTTTACATACGTCCACGCGCGTAGGCCCCCCCCAAGCCGTTTACATACGTCCACGCGCGTAGCCCCCCCCAAAGCCTTTACATACGTCCACGGCGTAGCCCCCCCCCCCCAACGTTTACATACGTCCACGGCGTAGCCGCGTCCCCCCCAAACCTTCTACATACGTCCATGCGCGTAGCCCCCCCCCCAAACCTTTACATACATCCACGGCGTAGCCCCCCCCAAACGTTCACACACGTCCACGCGCGTAGCCCCCCAAACGTTCACATACGTCCACGCGCGTAGCCCCCCAAACGTTCACATACGTCCACGCGCGTAGCCCCCCAAACGTTCACATACGTCCACGCGCGTAGCCCCCCCAAACGTTCACATACGTCCACGCGCGTAGCCCCCCAAACGTTCACATACGTCCACGCGCGTAGCCCCCCAAACGTTCACATACGTCCACGCGCGTAGCCCCCCAAACGTTCACATACGTCCACGCGCGTAGCCCCCCAAACGTTCACATACGTCCACGCGCGTAGCCCCCCAAACGTTCACATACGTCCAACGCGCGTAGCCCCCCAAACTTTACATACGTCCACGCGCGTAGCCCCCCAAACGTTTACATACGTCCACGCGCGTAGCCCCCCAAACGTTTACATACGTCCACGCGCGTAGCCCCCCAAACGTTTACATACGTCCACACGCGTAGCCCCCCAAACGTTTACATACGTCCACGCGCGTAGCCCCCCAAACTTTCATACGTCCACGCGCATAGCGCCCCAAACGTTTATATACGTTTCCTTTGTCATTCATTCAGCATTGCCACATTAAGCCTGAGTCACCTAGACACGAGAGAATGGGTGTGCGCACTCACTGTGGGCCATATTAACCCTTTCAGGGTCCGTCCCGTAGATCTACGGCTTTACGTTCAGGGTCCAAACCGTAGATCTACGCCATGAGCTCAGCTCACTCTGATAAACTGTGAGTGGTACATTTGGGCCTAGATATGAGAGAATACATCTATGTGGTATGTGTGCACCACATAAAACAGATCCTGCAGCACACTGTGTATAATGAGAGAAAAAAAATGAAATGATTTTTCGATTAAAACAGCAACTTTGCAGTGTTTTTTCGTATGTTTTTTATATTTGCGATTTCTTGGTCTCATTTGATAGAATGGAAGACATATTACAGAAATAGAGATGATTTTGATTGGTTTTAGCACTGGAAATGGCTTGAAACTGAGCTCAAAGTAGTGGAAATGTTAAATTTTTGCCGATATTCAAGAGTAAACAAACGACCTCACACTAATACACATCAGCTGGTGGGTCTAATATGCATTCACAAATATGATGATATTTATACAATTATTACAGTATTGCATAACAGTAAATCTTATTTTTTGGTGAATAAAAATTCATTGTGAAAAATCAAAATGGAATTTATTTGTAAAGCCTCAAAACGTAACTAATGAACAGAGGAAATGTTAGTTTATTTCAAGGAATACCTACATTGTTTATTCTGGATCCTATTTTGAAATTGGAATATTTTGAACTTTGGAAATTGTTAATTTGGCCAATTTAACACAATCACTTTAATTTGTAGTTGAAACAGTTGACTTGGCGATTTCTTGTGTTCAATCGATAGAAGTAATACTAGTGAAATAGCTAAGAATTTGGTTGACTGGAATAATGTAATTGGCCTAAAATGGGAGTCAAAGTCGGCAAAATCGCCGATTCGTAAATATCGCTGACACATCAAAATTCGCGAGAGCATAATTTCGTCAATTTTCCACCAAATTTCGTACTTTTTGTTTTATTACCTTCACAAAAAGATTCTCTACGATTTCATAAGAAAATAACAATTTTTTTTTTTTTAAATTCTTGGACACTGGTGCGTGACTCCAGATTTGGGCCTTGGACCCTGAAAGGGTTAAAATAATTGGGGATGCCTGGGTACCATATGCTCTTTTTTCCTTTTAACCCTTTCAGGGTCCGTCCCGTAGATCTACAGCTTTACGTTCAGGGTCCAAACCGTAGATCTACGTCATGAGCTCGGCTCACTCTGATAAACTGAGTGGTACATTTGGGCCTAGATATGAGAGAATACATCTATGTGGTATGCGTGCACCACATAAAACAGATCCTGCAGCACACTGTGTATAATGAGAATAAAAAAAAAAACTGAAATCATGATTTTTTGATTAAAACAGCGACTCTGCAGTGGTTTTTCGTATGTTTTTTATAGTTGTATTTGCGATTCCTTGGTCTCATTCGATAGAATGGAAGACATTACAGAAATACAGATGATTTTGATTGGTTTTAGCACTGGAAATAGCTTGAAACTGAGCTCAAAGTAGCAGAAATGTTAAATTTTTGCCGATATTCAAGAGTAAACAAACGACCTCACACGTCTAATACACGCCAGCTGGTGGGTCTAATATGCATTCACAAATATGGTGATGATATTTATACAATTATAACAGTATTGCATAACAGTAAATCTTCTATTTTTTTTTGGTGTGAATAAAAATTCATTGTGAATAAAAATTCAAAATGGAATTTATTTGTAAAGCCTCAAAACGTAACTAATGAACATAGGAAATGTTAGTTTAGTTCCAGGAATACCTACATTGTTTATTCTGGATCCTATTTTGAAATTGGAATATTTTGAACTTTGGAAATTGTTAATTTGGCCAATTTAACACAATCACTTTAATTTGTAGTTGAAACAGTTGACTTGGCGATTTCTTGTGCTCAATCGATAGAATAGAAGTAATACTAGTGAAATAGCTAAGAATTTGGTTGACTGGAATAATGTAATTTGCCTAAAATGGGAGTCAAAGTCGGCAAAATCGCCAATTCGTAAATATCACTGACAACAAAATTCGCGAGAGCATAATTTCGTCAATTTTTCATCAAATTTCATACTTTTTGTTTTATTACCTTCACAAAGATTCTGTACCATTTCATAAGAAAAAAATAATTTTTTTTTTTAAATTCTTGGACACTGGGGCACCACTTCAGATTTGGGCCTTGTACCCTGAAGGGGTTAAAAGAAAAGATTTTTTTTTACTCAAAAAAAGTTGGTGTGCTACGCGAGTGAACGTATACATACGTTTGGACCGTTTAAGGGTTAAACTCGAGAAGTTAGTGGTCTCTGCGATATTTATGCATTGGCAATTTCGTTCACTGTCATTGATCCAGCTGACCAAATTCATAGCCGTTTAGCCAGAGCTCTTTTATTCTATCGATCGAGTACAAGAAACTGCCCATTTATGTATTTCAACTTCTCGAAGTGATCAGAAATTACTAATATGGTAAATTTCACACAAAATTCAAAGGCCATTTTGAAAATAGGGTCCAAAATAAATAATGACATGTCTGGCACTAAAATAACATTTTCTGTTCATTAGTCATGTATCCAGGTCCCTCTTACATTGTGCTTTTTTTATTTTTAAGTGTTATTCACAAAAATACAAGATTCACCGCTATTCAGACTACTGCATAATGGTAATACAGTGGATCCTCTGGCAATGGCGGCTTTGGGCAACGCCAAAATTGGCGAACGGCTCGCTTTGGTGTAAAAATATTGACTTGGCTAAGGGATTTTGTCCTGGACGTGTCCGCGCAGCCTGAGCAGGCCTGCCCACTACACGACTCCGTGTACAGCTAGTGTGCCATTGCTTACAAGCCAAGGAGGACTATTCCTTGCATACAAGCTATATGTTTAGCATTATTCCATTATTTTTAATGCTTGTAACTGCTAAATAAGCCACCATGGCCCTGTGATGAAGGAAAAACAAAATTCAAGAAAAAACTCAATAGCAAAGTACCAAAGTGGAGGAGAAAGAGGGGAGTGTGCCTTCTGCAGTGATTCTACGATATGTACAATGCTAAAGTAGCAGGTATCACTCAAGGCTATAGTGCCAGCCAGCGATAAAGTATAATTAACAGTGTAGCAAGTAAGCGATAGAAAAACGACATGAAAGTAACTCTCCAATGTTGTTGAATGTGTAGGGCCGCTGAACATACGCCGTCCT